AGTATGAAGTAGTGAATTGCGTGGATTTCAATCATAATTCCTTCGAACTAAGTTTGCATGGCAAGCAGAATGTTTTGATGGTACTGCCCATTGGTTATCATGTGACAGTAGCGGCTCTGATAAACGGTAAAGAGCTTTTTAAAAACTAAGCTATATAATTAGAGCGATATTTAATTGAATGCTTATCTTCGCAGGAGATTTGGTGCGTCGTAGTTATACGCCCGTGAATGCTAGTTTTTTGCAGCAGAGTACAGTTACCGACGAAAACTATGCAACAAACCTACATTTCCTTGTTAAAAGCTACAGAGATGGCGCGCTTTCGATGCATTTGCGCCAACAGAAAGCTGGTCAAATGTTACTACTGTCAGCGCCGCGCGGTAATTTTCATCTGCAACGTTTATTGGCGCATCGGCAAATAGCGCTTATTGCTGCTGGCAGTGGCATAACGCCCATGCTGAATCTCATCGAACACCTGTTGAAACGAAATGCAAACCGCATGTGAGTAATATAAGGGCATACAAAGATATAACCGGAGGTAAAATAAAATACGTTTGAAAGTGAGGGGCACGTTTTGCTGTTTTTGTCGACACATGTTTCTAAACATTTTGTAAACACATGTTGCTAGACATTTTGTAGACACTTGTTGCTAAATATCTTGCTAAACGTTTTGTGGACACATTACGGTGAACATTTTGTGGATACATGTTGCTAAATATTTTGTGAATAGTTGTCGCTAAACATTTTTCCTTAGCCTATGTTCAAACGGGTACCTAATTGGCAATTAAGAATCTTTTCACCAATTTAGGCCTTAATTGTTACCCAATTTATCATACAAAAACTCAAATTATTAATTGCCAATTAATAATTAATAATTGGCAATTAATTTCTGTCCGATTCTCTATGCAACCCTGCTAGGTATGTCTAATTTTGACTTGCAGCTATGTTTATTGAACAAAGAGCAATCAGCTGTTTATTTATGGTTCTCTTTTACAGCTGATATTCCATCAGGGATGGAAAATTTAATTACAAAATTGTACCTAATTTGCGAAAAACTTTACCTAAAAGTAGATATATATACTTAAAAAGTAAATATGTATTTCTATATAAAGAAAAATAGGATAAAATTCCCNACCTGCTAGGTATGTCTAATTTTGACTTGCAGCTATGTTTATTGAGCAAAGAGCTGTTTATTTATGGTTCTCTTTTACAGCTGATATTCCATCAGGGATGGAAAATTGAATTACAAAATTGTACCTAATTTGCGAAAAACTTTACCTAAAAGTAGATATATATACCTAAAAAGTAAATATGTATTTCTATATAAAGAAAAATAGGATAAAATTCCCATCGATACCATATCAACTTCTGTACCCACATTAAAAAAATTTTGGCTATGAAAAGAATCTCTTCGAGCAGCGTGAGACAAAAATAGTGATGTAAATTTTCATCTCTACTGCAGTATTGCCGCGTTTATTACATGCCTCGAACAAGCCCTATGTTGTAGAAAAGGTAAATCACTTTCCGCCCAGTTCTTCGATCTGAAATATTTTCTGCCTATCTGGCGAAATCAACTTAAGTTACTTTGGCCAACTTTCTGTATCATTTGTATGCCCTTTCACAAAAGAGGGAAGCTTTTAGACCAGTTTCCCGCACCAGAAAATGCATTGAAAAGTAAATAAAAATAAAAACTGATTTCTTGAGAAGTTATTTGGCTGTGTTCCAAGTGTACCTAAAATTGTGTGTTTGTACCGATTGTACTTTCAAACTAAATAAAGGTACGATTGTACTAACTTTTCCATCACTGTAGATAACCCAGCCTGTTAAAGCTGAAACAGACGGCAGCGTTGATGCTTATTAACTCGGACTTAATCCGGATCAGCGCCGCCGTCTGTTTATGCTTTTAGACTACTATCGTTTAGTTATGCGCGCCTGGTACAATAGGGATGGTTGCAAAAATCAGAAATGCCCTGCAGGGTTGCCAACACTTGCCAATACTTTGAGGACTAAGTTTTAAAAACTTGCACGTTAATGNCATGTTGTAGAAAAGGTAAATCACTTTCCGCCCAGTTCTTCGATCTGAAATATTTTCCGCCTATCTGGCGAAATCAACTTAAGTTACTTTGGCCAACTTTCTGTATCATTTGTATGCCCTTTCACAAAAGAGGGAAGCTTTTAGACCAGTTTCCCGCACCAGAAAATGCATTGAAAAGTAAATAAAAATAAAAACTGATTTCTTGAGAAGTTATTTGGCTGTGTTCCAAGTGTACCTAAAATTGTGTGTTTGTACCGATTGTACTTTCAAACTAAATAAAGGTACGATTGTACTAACTTTTCCATCACTGTAGATAACCCAGCCTGTTAAAGCTGAAACAGACGGCAGCGTTGATGCTTATTAACTCGGACTTAATCCGGATCAGCGCCGCCGTCTGTTTATGCTTTTAGACTACTATCGTTTAGTTATGCGCACCTGGTACAATAGGGATGGTTGCAAAAATCAGAAATGCCCTGCAGGGTTGCCAACACTTGCCAACACTTTGAGGACTAAGTTTTAAAAACTTGCACGTTAATGAAATAAAATTTAACACATTTTTAAATTTTTGTAGCGACTACTTACGCTTATTATATTTTAATAAAACGCCGGCGGACATCTGGTGTCGCAAATATCTGGAACAATTGCATGCGGGTGATGAGAGGTGAAATAGCAAGAGGGCAATATGAAAAGGTGTATTATACAAACTTTTTTTTAAATGTTTTTTTGCAGATTTCAGCTAGTTAATGTACTTTCTGAAGCTGATACTGAATGGACCGGGCTACGCGGACGCATTTGTAAAGAGCTACTCGCCCCACTATTAACGAAAAATACGCCAGAATATGCTAGTTTTGCTACGATATGTGGGCCCAGTGAATTCAGTCAAGCGGCAGAGGACTTGTTAAGAGAACTGCAATTTGATTTGGCAGATTTACACATCTTTCAGGGATAAAATGCTTTCACAAGTGCAAGTATATAGNCGCTAGTTTTGCTACGATATGTGGGCACAGTGGATTCAGTCAAGCGGCAGAGGACTTGTTAAGAGAACTGCAATTTGATTTGGCAAATTTACACATCTTTCAGGGATAAAATGCTTTCACAAGTGCAAGTATATAGTCTTTTAGTTAAATAGTAGACGTTCATTTATGACTTTGTAGCATAATGGTATTGGTATTAGTAAATTTTAACAATTTACATGTATGTACATAATAAAAATAGACAACTTTTAAGATTTTTTAGATATATTAATGTCTCTATAAACAACAACAATGTACTAATGAAATCGAAAGAAGTTTTTTCTTATTTAGTTCATTTTACATGCAAAGAAATAATAATTTTTCCTGTTTTAAAAATATCCATTCTTGTTGCTTTTTATTTTTCAGTAGACTTTCATATACAATTTTCTCCTTCCTCTTCATTATCGTTAAATCATTATGTTTAGGTAAATAATTTAATAAATTTTAACAAATTACTAGAAGTAGCAAAAACATGCTACAACTACATCCCGCACCACTTCTAGTAGAATATAGGGGAATAGTAGACAGTGTTGAGTTATCGTACGAGCGACTTTACTTAGCTTTCGCGTGCGTTAAATACATACTTAAAATTTAAATATTAAGTAAAAAATAAATGGATATTATTAAGTATGCAATGCAAAATACCTTTAGAAGTGTTGCGAGTGTGTATATGCTGTTTGGGAGCACATCATTATTGTTATTTTCATTTAATAAATAAAAAGTTTTTTAAGTAGAGGGGAGAGGCGTTTACTGGCTGCTTTAATAGCGTCTATTAATTTAAATTCGGCTCGTTTGAAACTTTTAACGAAACAAAGGAGCACAAAACGTTTTACCTATTTAGGAATAACTTAAAATGACATTTAAAAACAAATGTACGTGTCTCCATCCATAGCCAACTTGTGGCAATCGTCGTGCTGATGGTCCAAGCGAATACAGGTTTTATTTTATGTTGGTTTTAATAGGAGCGTATTGCTGGAGGCACAGTTTCTACAGTATCGTCCAGAGTCTTATCAATGACTTCACGGTATTTGATTGTGACGTTGCCTGCATCACCGCTCACCCATGTCAATGTGTGCTTACGCCAATGCTGATCCAAAGGTATTTTCGGTTGACCTTCAAGTGGCTTGCTGTAGTCCTGTAAAAGACAAAAACAAATTCATCATTTGCATTTAAAATATCTCCGAGGGGAAAACTGTCTGGCAAACACTTACATATTCATCAATACGTGTCTTATAATCCTCACGCGCATGTGCACCTCGTGATTCTTTGCGATTCTCAGCAGCCACAATGGTCATTTGAGCATTGGCTAACAAATTTTGCAATTCAAGCGTTTCAGCCAAGTCCGAGTTCCACACATTCGATCTAAGAAAAAAACACAAAAAAGTGACTCGTTTTTGCAACAAATCATATAATCGTGCTTACTTGTCAACGACTTTGATATCTTGGAATTCCTTGTAGATATCCTTCATCTTCTCAACGCCCTTCTGCAGTATGGGACCATCACGGAATACGGCGGCATGTCCTTGCATTGTCTTTTGCATTTTCAATCGCAAATCTGCGGTGGTGATTTTACCATTGTTATGTTTGATCTTATCCAGATTAGCAACTGATTCCTCCCCAGCATTCTGTGAAATAAAATGTAAAATATATAAACGCACGATTTAGTGATGGGTCTCTGTCACTCACATCTTTCACACTAGGTGCTGGCACACCAGGTTTGTTCTCTTCAGCAATTGTCAACGCACAGGCACGTCCGAAGACCACCAAATCCAGCAACGAGTTAGCGCCCAGCCGGTTAGCACCATGCACCGATGAACTGGCAGCCTCACCGCAAGCATACAAGCCGGGAACAACTATATCGCAGCCTTTTTCATCGATAGTCAGCACCTGTCCCTTATAATTGGTTGGGATGCCGCCCATATTGTAGTGCACAGTCGGCAGAACTGGGATTGGCTCACGTGTCACATCGACGCCGGCGAAGATCATTGCAGTTTCGGAGATACCAGGCAGACGTTGAGCCAATTGGTCTGGTGGCAAGTGATGCAATTGCAAATGAACGTGATCCTTTTCGGGTCCCACACCGCGTCCTTCCATAATTTCAATGGTCATTGAACGTGAAACAACATCGCGTGAGGCCAGATCCTTGGCAACCGGCGCATAACGTTCCATGAAGCGTTCACCCTTTGAGTTCACCAAGTAGCCACCTTCACCACGGCAACCTTCAGTCATTAGGCATCCAGCACCGTAGATACCAGTTGGGTGGAACTGTACGAATTCCAAGTCCTGCAAAGGCAGTCCTTGGCGTGCCACCATCGCGTTGCCATCACCTGTGCAGGTATGCGCGGAGGTGCATGAGAAGAAAGCACGTCCATATCCGCCGGTGCTAATGACAGTATTGTGTGCGCGGAAACGGTGCAGTGTGCCATCTTCCAGATTCAGTGCCAACACACCTTTGCACTTGCCATCCTCGAATATCAAATCCAGCGCGAAATATTCAATGAAGTAGTTGCAATCATAACTCAACGACTGACCATAGAGTGTATGCAGTAGCGAGTGACCTGTACGATCTGCCACTGCGCAGCAACGATGCGCTTGGCCGCCCTTGCCGAATTTTAAACTTTGACCACCGAAAGCACGCTGATAGATTTTACCTTCGGGTGTGCGCGAGAAAGGCATACCATAGTTCTCCAATTCAATGACGGCTTTTGGCGCTTCGCGGGTCATGTAGTGAATGGCATCTTGATCGCCCAACCAATCGGAACCCTTTATCGTATCGTACATGTGCCATTTCCAATCGTCCTCCTCCATGTTGCCGAGCGCGGCATTGATACCACCCTGTGCGGCGATAGTGTGCGAACGGGTGGGAAATAACTTGGAGATGACAGCTGTTTTGAAACCTTCGGCGACCAAACCGAATGCGGCTCGCAAACCAGCACCGCCCGCGCCAACAACAATCGCATCGTATGAGTGGTCGACGATGGGGTACTCATTTGAGATGGCGTCGGTGCGAACCTTGGCATCATTTTTACCATGGGTTATATGCAGTTCTCGTTGTGACACAACAGATGCAGTGCGTAGCTACAAATATACGGTACATTAGTGTAACTTTTGTGTAAAAGGATTTTTATTGAAAATCATTTAAACGAGCCCAGTGGGCAAATTAATTGATATAAAAAAATATTTCTTTGCATGGAGCTGCTCTAGTAAATGATAATTTAGCAAAAGTCTCACACTATGATATTGGGAACCATTTTTTATTTTTTTCGTTGGAAATACCCCTATTTCTTTCTTTTCAACTCCTATAAATACAAAAGCGAGTTGTTTGCTCATGATGACATCAATCAAAGCAAAGTTAAGCATTTGCACTAGCCAACCCGCTTTCCCTCCGAACCGGTTTTTATTTCATCTTGACAATTTGATTTAAGTATCTACATACATATGTACTTATAAATATGTACTATACAGTCTAAGTGATTACGAAAAGAATTAAATAGAAGGATTCCACCGCACGTGTAATATTGTGCATATGCATATACAGGGTGCACCATAAAGTAGTTTCATTTCAAAAATGAATAAATTAAGAAAAATCCATTTTTTCCGCAGTTTATTGGTTTATTCGAAATAGCAAACGGCCTCGACCGAACTTGGTACATAAAACATCGATTGTATCACGGGCTGCGTGGCAGCCTGCTGAAACCAAAGATCGCCCATCTCCAATCAAAATATCAATTTAAAGAAAGCTCTAGACTGTACTCAAGAGAACACCATAAAAATACTTAAAGATGCTCTAAGTAAACATAACTTACTTAACGAAGTTTAAAATAACTTTCCTTGAGGCAATATGGCCTAGTAGCCCAGCCTCAAAAATATATTTTATAAATTAATTTATAAAACATAGAATAAATAAATAAATTAATTAATGTTAAAATTGAGTTACAGTGTGACCGCTTGTTTAACTAGTACCTTTTAGAAAATTCACATACCGTTACGGCTTTTTCAATCCTTACAAGGTGTTACCAACTGTAAAAATTAAACTCATTGGGACGCGATTTCAGGCAAGCATATGAGTATAGGGTCGGCCTCTATCCTACAACTGAATAGGATACAATTCCTGATCCAACTAAATTGCAAAATTGGTCATTAATAAATATTCGAGTCTTTGCGTTAAAAAACAGCCATTAATAGTCATTAAATTCATTTCTACATGGCATTTTTTAAATGCCTCTAATTTTTTGTCATTTTAATGCCTAGTCGAAATTCGGCATAACTTCCACAGTATTTTTCTAATATTTCAACTAAATTTGATTCTTTAATTTGAAAAGTTTTGCTTTACTTTATATAGCTCAACACTGGCGTTTATGTAACTGCAATTGGTGGCAGAAAACAATGCACGAAACGAAAGTCGAAAACAAAAAATGTTAGAAAGGAACAAGCGTCATTAAATAACCATAAGTTTTAAACGAACGTCAATTATCGTAAATATTCATCGCATGACAACTTTAATTGCATTTTAGTTGACTTATAGCCAACCGCATATCACGGCAACAATTTAACGGATGGAATAGATGAGAAATAAATTTATACAGTGAAGTCTAAAAGGGATGAACCACGTTCCCACGACAGTCGGGTCTACGTAACCGGAACGACCCACATTTATATCTGGCCAAGGACTGTCACTCTAGCAACACTCCTCAAAAACAATTTTGGGAATTTGTATGCTATTACAACGACAGGGATGAACTTCAATTTTAGATATTAAGGATAGAAGAATATTTGTCGTCATTTTTACTATGGGAGCGTATATTAACTGTAAACTTTAAAGCCGGTTTTCTCATGTNTTTAATGCCGGCACACACTAGGATTGATCTATATCGAAAAAAATATACCCCTATTTTTTATTTTGAAATCAAAAAATATTTAGGGGGTGCTCAAAGCGCTCAAAGTTT